ATGGTAATGTTGCAGATACTGGATCCTGTAATTTCTAGAGCGAGGTAACAACATTATTTCATTTCCCTGCTTTAACAGGGCTGGCAGGAGTGTGACAGATCACATTATCTTGCTGCTGGGTGTAGTTAATTCATTTGGTGTAGTTTGGCATGCCTGATGCAATTACTATATAAAGGTGGATCATTGTCGTGACAATGCATGATGATTCGTACATCCAGGGGCATTTTAGTTTGTCAAACTCTGACTTTACCAGTCAAAAGATCAGATAAGATATGGGTAGTGAGAATATCACACCTTACCATAAACCAACAGCAGCACACATCCTCTTCTGGCCCTACCTACTTGACCAGCTTAAGGCTACCACAGTAACCCCATTATCTGACTACTTGTGAATCTCTTCAGCAGATTCCATCCATCCTGACCAAGGTAGTCAGGAATAGCATACTTGGCATTCTGCTTGTAGCAGCCTCATTAGATTATGATGGCTCATAATACTACCTTGACGGAGCTCATTATCAGCCAATAGAATTTATGTGGCTGGGGTTGGGCTTCAATTGATTTTGTATCTGTATGTACACATGATACCTAGCTATGAAGAAGATGCCATCAATCTTTATTGTCGTTTGTATTTTGGAAGAAAGAATTTTCCCCTAGAAGTATGTAAATGATGTGGTTGGAACTTGTCTTTATTCCCATTAATATGGAAAATGGTTTATTGGTTGCATCTCAGTCTCTTTTAGGTTTGTACAAGTCATCTCAGTATTACACTCAAGCATAAGAAAGGATACCGTATTCGACATAATAAGGGCCCCGCTCTAATAAGCGCCCATCGCGATATTTGCTAATATATTGGCATGTGAACAATCACATTTAGCACCCTTCCGATTGATCAATGTACACAAGACTTATTTATTCGCACATAATACACCCTCGTGTGTTATATGCATTCTAAATTATGAGCAATTAAATTCTGGAAAAATATATCTGTCGCATATAAACATTTCAGTCTGTCAGCGTAAACCACGAAATTTATCTTTCCACTCTGTTTTTTCCACCAAAATAATATTCTAATAAGAGCCCCCTTTTTCTAGTTTTGAGAGCGCCCTGGGCGCTTATTACGTCGAATACGGTAATCAGTATTTTCATTCCCATATCATGTGTATTGTTGGAGTATCCCAAGTATGGATTGACATTCATAGAAAACACATACCGGTACTAGCCAAATTAGAATCTACTAGCCGAGCTGGATTCTTTTCTTTATTGCATTTTGATTCCAAGCTTAAATACCATGTATTTAGACAGCAAAGCAGATATCATCAGGTGTCAGATATCATAAGTGGCAAATACTTTTAATCTACAAGCCTGAACTCATCTTGCAGTCTCTTTGTCTTACGGAATATTATGAGCTTACTAGACAACAATAGATTTTTATGGACTGTGGTTTCAAAGTACTGGTTAAAGTCGCAGACTGCAGATACTTTATTCACCATATTTACCATATTTACCGCATTCACTGTATTCACTGCATTTACCGTATTAAGTGCCCTGCTCCGATAGGGGACCCCCGATCAACTTCTAGACCAGTCTGTTGGTAATCTTTATAACAATCCCTCCCCATAGTAAGCCAGAAAATGACAACAACAACAATAATAATAATAATAATAATAATAATAATAATAATAATAATAACAACATCAATAATAATAATAATATTACATGCATTTATATAGTGCAACAATTCACAAAATAAATATTCTCTGTGCACTTGAGCAACTGCAGGACTGTTGGAACAGAAATGTTTAGGCTGAGATTTGAAAGTAGAAATAATGGGACCAGATTGAAGAGTTTCCTGGATCCACAGCGCATGAGAAAGTTCTTTTGCGAAATGTACAATTGTTAACTTGAGGAATGAAGCATGATCAAACTTGGAAGATACGAGAACAATCCTCGCAGCTGTATTTTATTGTGTATAGTACAGATCTTTTGCCAGAAAACACAGCAGTGTAGAAGTGCTATATAATTGCCCAGCAACTGTTATCGAGGAAGTTTTAGTTTCATCAATGTTTGAACCAGGGATCCGAAAGCCGATCTGTGCACAGGTCATGTCTGGTTGTGACTGCACAATATCCGATTTGAAAAAGTGCAAACCGGAGTCAGACATTTTATGATTTGCCAACTGAATATATTTTAGGATGTAATTGCCGGACATTACAACCTGAGACTGAATATCATAATGAACTGAAGGATATAAAATAAAGAGGTGCAGCCACCCTGACATGTGCTTTTGTTGTTGATTAGTGTATACGCGACTTGCAAGGGTGACCGAGCGCTATCGGTCAACATCAATAGCAATGACGTATATGCACTTTTTCTACCTATCTACTGCTGATTCGATTAAAAAATATACAATAATATAACATCGAAGAATTTTGCATAACGATCGGAAGAAATGTACTTGAAATTATTCCTTTATGACATAAATTCCATTATCGTGTTATTTTATTTGCAGCTTTTACCATATATATTAAAAATAATAATAACCATAAGAGTAGCTTATTTGACTCCATCGAATTAATTCTTTATATTAGTGCACAAACTGATACTTGTGATTGTACAAACTGATACATGTGATTGTACAAACTGATGCATGTGATTGTAATGTATAATTTGGAATGAAGAGCTGCAAGTAAAATTAGGACTTTGACCTAGTGACCCAGTAAGTTGTGTTAAACAAGTAGACATTCTGGTTTACCATAATTAACATCCAACCTGTGAAGGAATTGTAAGCTTGGTGATGTGTGTGGCACCTATGTGCTCCATTTTAGTGAAAGCGCCTTGGGATAGAGTATTGGCAAACATGCATTTTAGTAAACCTGTAATTCAAACAGGCAATATTCCATGTTTTTTTTCTATGAATGGCGGGAAGTTGGACACATGGTTACTGGACATGCTGAAAGTGCCATGAAATATGTATAATGTATGTATACACCAGCTGCAATGTGTGTCAACATTCTAGTGGAACACGTTGCTGAGCTATACATGAGATGAAGTGGCCATCTTTGAATGCTTCACAAGTGTTATAGGTTAGAGGTGGGCTGTCAAGTACTACCATTACCCTCAGCACCTTGCCATGTAAATAATAAAGGAAAATGGAGGAGAGTAGTGATAAAAATGAACTTAATGAACTTAAATAATGAAGTTATGTTGATGTCTCTGTTTTTCATTTTATGGCGTACATACTTCGCAGTTTAAAGACGAGTGTTCATTAGTTTTGTGTTAAAGGGAGACCAGGCAAGACCAAGTAGCAGTTGTATGCCTTTCATGTCTCTGAAATAACAGTTGGTCCCCTACTGGTTCATCTTCTATTATGTATACCAATTTACCATTTAATGATAATTACTACGTTTCATGCATGTATTAATCACAATATCTAGATTGAGGCAGGAAGCTGGCACCGGGCCATGGACCATGTTCTCCCCAGAAAGACTTTCGAAATTTCACGATTTATTGAGGAAACATTCTTGAAACCTTATTTCTGGAATAATCAATCACTGAAGTGATGTCTGTGGTGCCCTCTACTCAGACGCTTGCTCCATCGATCACAGCAGCTCTGTCAATTGAACAGTTTAAACCGCTGATATAACCCTGTGTTTGTATACTATAAAGCTTTTATTGGTCCTTAAAAATGATCGATCTGAAACCCCATATATATTCAGTATTCAAGGTTTTCTGCTATAGCGTTTTAGTATGTAGAGGTTTAATCTGCTGACTGACCTGAGAACCTTAACAAACATTTCAGGGCTATGTCAAATGTACATAGACCCCTTGACTTTGATGACTACCGGGTACTCAATATCTCCAAAAAGTCCACCTGAAATTCTTTCTTTCGTTAAAATTAAGACATGAGAACATGAAATCTGTTCTTATTAAACCATAAACATGCTTTGTTGTTTTTGATATATGTATAGTATGTATAGTGAATAACTCCGTGAAAAACATTATATTGCTCTGGTCTGGTAGCTGTGTTTTAATAGAAAACTGCCTGTGTCACAGCCTATGATTAATTTTTCCATTTATGATTATAGTATAATGTAGCAACACTGTTCTGTTCTGATCGTATGATAATTGACTGACCCCAATGGTTGTGTGTGTTGATCCTGGTAATTGTATTGGTGTTATGGAATATGTGATGAACAGAGCATAAGGTTATCTGAATAAGTATAGATGATAATGATGGTCCAGGTAGCAGATGAGTGATTGATGAGTGATTGATGGATGGATAGATGGATTGATAGTTTTTTCCTAATGGCGATGACCCATTCCCTCTGGCAATCTGCAGCACTGTGATAAGACATTGATAAGTCTGGCTGATTGATTATACAATATGTTATATATCTGAATATATGTTACAAAACAGATAGGTAGCAATAAATCTTTATTTTAATTTGTTTGAAACCATGGTAATATGAACCAACACATTAGTTCCCTTTCTCTAAAAGATTGCTCTACTGGATTCATCTCCTGTTGCTCAACCAACTTGACCAATAAAGTATTTTCAGACATTATCATGATTGTCAGACAAGACTTGTTTGATGCCCCACACATTGATTCCCCTGCAGTCAACAAGTTTGATGCTCCATAGGTTCATCTGCATGTCAATATGGTCAATCTGTTTTTGATTCCAGATATGAATACTCCCATGTCAACAACCCATGTTCGATTCTGCACATAGGGCATACATTGCTGTTTGATTCTCCAAATATAATAAGGACCATTATGTACAGTTGTTCCAGACAAACTAAATACTTTCATGAAAACACCCTGTGAATGATCACAGTATATGATCAATAAACTCAATGATAACACACGTTGTTGCTCATTAAATAAAACTTCACTGTCGTTCACTTTAACCATTATTTTGGGGCTTTTAAGAAAGTGATTGAATGTGCTGCTCCTACCATGTGTACTGAGTGTTATGCTGAGATTCTTTGATGTTGCAGGATGATGAAGAAATGCGAGGTAGACACAAAGATCCCCTCCTGGCCGGGGAGGAGAGATTGGTCAGTGACAGTAACGTGGCAATCTCCACTGACAAGAAGCCACAACAAGGGGCTTTGAAATTTGGCTGGATCAAAGGTGTCCTGGTGAGTCTTATGTATTAAACTGAATATGTTATGCTCATCTGGATGCATATTTAATATATGAAATCTTAAGACAAGTTAATCATGTTAGTGTTCCTACATTGCTTGTGTAAACAAAACCTGTGAAGATCCGGGGTAGAATAGGTCTTTAGCAACCAATACTTGCCGTAAAAGGCGACTATGCTTGTCGTAAGAGGTGACTTACGGAATCAGCTCGCTGACTTGGTTGATGCATGTCATCGTATCCCAAATGTATGGATCGATGCTCATAAAGTCAATCAGTGGATTGTCTGGTCCAGACTTGATTATTTACAGACCGCTGTCATACAGCTGAAATATTGCTGAGTGCAGTGTTAAACAACAAACATCATCATCATCATCATCATCATCATCATCATCATCATCTTGTGTCAAAAACCTTTGATCTTATTAGCCCAAATGTGTCATTTGGGATAAATTTTGTTAGCTTTATGTGACTTAACAAATGTATCATTAATAGCTAAGCTTACAAAACTCGGCTTTTGGACACAGACTGGTGTTGTTAATTGGAGATCTCTACTGTCCCATTTTCACAAAATATTAGTTCACAATATTCAAACATTGTTAATTAATCAGTTATATTGTGTAAGAAACAAAAAAATCCGGGTTCGATTCCCGACATGGGTACAATGTGTGAAGCCCATTTCTGGTGTCCCCCGCCATGATTATGCTGGAATATTGCTAAAGGCGGCGTAAAACCATACTCACTCACTCACTCACTCACTCACTCACTCACTCACTCACTCACTCACTCACAATTACTATCATGTTTGTGTTTATTCATGTATGGAATGTTTTTGTGTGCGTAGGTGCGATGTCTGCTAAATATCTGGGGTGTCATGCTGTTCATCCGCCTGTCGTGGGTGGTTGGCCAGGCTGGCATGGGCCTCACTGCAGTCATCATCCTCCTGTCCGGCGTTGTCACCACACTTACTGCTCTATCCATGTCAGCCATTTGTACAAATGGAGAAGTAAAGGGAGGTAAGTGAAGAACACATGTGGAGATCTTCATGATTCAGTCAGATCCTTTGAGAAACCTCTGACTTGTTTATGTGCTGACCTTGAAAACTGTCTTCAACATACAATCAAATAAATGACAAAAGTCCTGATAGCTGTAAAATTGTTGATTTGGTAATATTTACTCACTCTTGCTCTGGTTTGCTGATACAGATTTAGTTACTGACAGGCCACTGTGATACAGCTGGAATATTGCTGACATGCCAATCATTATTTGTTTGGGTTGATGGTAGGGATTTTGAGCATAGAGTTGTGCTATTCTTGTCCTCTTCCAATGTACACTTTGTCACTTCCCCCCAAATTATTTACATGCATAAAATATCACAGAGAACAAATTTTTAATGCACGAGGGACATGAAGCATTCTACAGAAAACTTTTACTGACAATGAGATTCATGCTTTAAATTCACAGTGTTAAACTAAAGCATCCCTTACTCATTGATACAAGGTGTCATTGGTTGTTATGTGAAGACACACTCAAAGTCATTTTATCAGTCTATTTGGGCGGATGCAGATAGGGAAGAACTAATTTCATGTACACAGTATTACTTTGGAACTTGAAACACCACATTGTCTTCCTGAAAAACAGTTAATGTGGATAACTTTTATGAATTAGTGGAAGTTTGACCCCATATTTTACTTATGTTGAGAAAACACACATCACATGAAATTAAACTTTTTTGCCTTGTTGATTAGGATCAGTTCAAAATTTCTATGTTGGACAAAAATCTTTATGCCATAAGTTTGGAGGCATACCACTCCTCGACTAAAGTTTTGACGATAAAACCCTACCTTGTGGAAGATGTATTTATGACAAGTCCTGGGGCGGTCGGGTAGCCTAGTGGTTAAAGTGTTCACTTGTCACGCTGAAGACCTGGGTTTGATTCTCGATGTGGGTACAATGTGTAAAGCCCATTTCTGGTGTCCCCTGCTGTGATATTGCTGGAATATTGCTAAAAGCTTGGTAAAACGATACTCACTCACTATGACAAGTCCTAACAATATATGAATAAAAATATGATCGGTTTAGTTTCTATAAAAGACCTTGAGAAATCAGGGAAGTTGATTTCACTGGATGGAAAACTTGCAGGGCCATTAACACCAGCCCCTAAGCCCAAGGAATCAAGATTTATATCCAACACCGAACTGTTCCCTTATTCTAAAGATTCAATTAGGGTTTGCATCTCTATGTTGTTTTCTCTCCTGCACTTAGAGGGATTAAATAGAAACTAAAACTGAAATCGCTCTGTCTGATAGGTTTGAAATCTTTCGTATGATTATAGAATATTTAAGTTTTCTTGTGAAGTAACATAGTGGCCTACTGAATGTTTGCTCGGCCATGTGCTAATCATGAACACATTGATACTCGTTAAAAATCAGGCATAGTTAGTACTTTGTACATAACCCCTTGAAGTTAGCTTTTAATGAGGATGATTTTTCAAAGTTATTGTACACATGGTATAGACTTTCAATTCCGTGTGTTATAAATGTCAGTTTGATTATCACGAGGAAGTGTAGTCTGCTTTTGAAAAGCAACAAACGAAACTAGGCGTTTTTGTTTCCTCGTCATCTGATTAAAAAACAAATTCAAATTGGCTTGACAGAATGTAAATGGATTTTACGTTTGGAATTGCCAGTGTAGAGTGAATTTATTTGTATCTAAAGATTTTCCAATATAAAAACAATCCGCTGAACGGAGAGGTCAAACTGACCTTGCTTCATCTGACAGTGAAATTACCACCAAGGGGGGTAATGAACTTGTTAGACAGTCACTGATATTGGAAGCCTGATCCCATTTACTTCTGTGATACATTGGCATGGTCATTATCTAACAATTGTAGGGTCTCACTACCCTCAGTTTCAATTGTAATTGTGAGGTTATTATACCGAGTCCCAAAGACAGTTGACTTTCATTGTGTTGAGGTCACTCAGCTGCTCATTGACCTAGACTGATTGTTCGGAGCAAGCCTGGTTAGTCCCAACAGGCCCCTTCTGCCTCAGGAAAAATCTATAGACATTGTAGGATTTGAACCAGTTTGTGCTCCCTCACCTTGCCAAATAGTTGTGACATGGTTTTCACATTAGCCAAGATTTGACCCACAATAAGTATTTGTTGTGATAAATGTGCACATGTTTGCCAGATGTTAAGTGAACACTTCATCCGTTCATTGTGTCACCAATAAAATATTTTTTCTCATATGTTGCTGTTACCTTGGTTACAGTTTGTGACTATCATTAAGTCGCAACGTTGCATTCAAAATGTGCTGTTTATATGTTGTTTTCAATATATTTTAAGCATGAAATAATTCCATTAAGTGGGTTCACTGCCTAAGAGGGGACATTGTTTACAAGATTGTTTATCCTGACTGGTTGTAGTTAGTGAAACCATTTGTTTATGAACCATATGTACTTGTCAAGGTTGAAATTCACAAGCAGGGATGACAACACTTACTTTGTAATAATAATAACAATAATAATAATCATAAAATAATTCCAGTTCATGTCTTCATCAAAATTGCCTATTGCAGATTTTAGTTAACCCAGTAATACTCCTCACTTGTTCCTTTTCACTGTTCACACAAGGTGTAAGAAGCCAACAATGATTCTTTGTTACAGTCTCATGGGTGGGGTGTGTTTGGATGTTTTGAGTTGTTCAGAGTTACACCCCTTGCAGGATCTGCTGGTCATGTGTTTGAATCCCATAGTTTCCCAGTGATTTTGCTTGAGACAATGGCATTAGGATATTTTTTTATTTTGTCAAGTTTTGAAAAGACATTCTTGTATATCATTTGAAAAAACCTGTTTGGGACATTTTGGATGGCAATCAGTCAATGTCCTAGAAAATGGATGGATCTGAAACCGTCTTTGCTATAATTATATTTGTTATTAATTATCCTTGGTTTCTTAGCACCACACCCTTGCTCATGGGTTCACCAGTGTGATGATGACCTGCAGCCAAAGTCACTGGATTTTCCCTCCACATTATTGGATGAATGAAATATTGTTCCTGACATTAATTCCAGAAAAGAATGACAATGCCACAATTTCATGTTCTCTAACATTGGAACATGACAGTGAAGGATAAAAACTGATACACTGGACATGTCTGGTCATAGTGCCGATTGCTTAATCAACCGTCAATTAATTCCTTAAACTGATAGATATACCACACATAGTCCATAGCTCCCTGGAAATGGTGATAGTGGGTCACAGCACTGCAGGACATGCTAGCACTGGGAAATATCTTGAAATATGCTTGTTAACTGCTTTTGGAAGTTTCTTAACATTGAACATTCTGGCTGATTTCCTATTTGTCATACCATGTTGAATGTGGGCTACAAGTTCATAATGATATTGTCATCTTGAGATGCCCATCATGAGGTGGCCCAGAACTCACATTGAACTGTATCGCCATACTAGCAGGTGACTAGCAGAGGAAGCACACGCAGTGTCAATGTACTTGTATTGAATTGATCAGTAGCTATGAATAAGGGAGGCTACTTGGAGCAATAGGATAGATTCTTTCAGTGCACTTGCTATGTATCAATTGAAATGGTTATTTTATTATACCCCCAACCTTTTAGGTCGGGGGTATATAGTTATACCAAGGTTCCCGTCCATCCGTCCGAAAACTTTGTCCACGTGATTTCTCTTAAACTATTCAGTGGATTCATCTCAAACTTAGTACATATAATCTGTGTCATATGGAGGGGTGCAGTCAAAAGCAAAAAATTGTTTTTATTAATTTTCCATGTTTTTATTAATTTTTCAAATCCCAACGTCCATCCGAAAACTTTGTCCACGCGATTTCTCTTAAACTATTCAGTGGATTCATCTCAAACTTAGTACATATAATCTGTGTCATATGGAGGGGTGCAGTCAAAAGAAAAAAGAAGAAGTTTTTATTAATTTTCCATTTTTTTATGAATTTTTCAAACACTAATATCCGTCCGAAAACTTTGTCCGCGTGATTGCTCTTAAACTATTCAGTGGATTCATCTCAAACTTAGTACATATAATCTGTGTCATATGGAAGGGTGCAGTCAAAAGAAGAAAAATATGTTTTTATCAATTTTCCGTTTTTTTAAATGAATTTTTCAAACCCTAACCCTATCCTAGCTATTTAATTTGAAACTACTGACACACTAGGCCGGTCGGGGGTATTAGTGAGCCACGCTCACTTTTGCACTTGTTTATTTTGTTTTCCTTTCATAGGTACAATGAATTTGTATGTACATCCCATATACATGATACAACTATTGATACAACTATTGATACACATATTATCATTTGAAATGCAATAGTGCTTGAGGAAAATATCCGCATCTGCACTTTTCCTTAAACATATTAAATATTTATTTACACTGAAGAAGTACCAATGCGATTGTGTAGCAATAAACTGTCTTTCCTGTTATTAACCTACGGATCAAATGTTATGTGTCCCTATTGCACTATTAATCTGGTTTGTTTAATATTCTTCATGTTCTTGTTCTATCATTGGTAAAAGTTCCTAAAAAACCTGACAGCTGTTGATGCTCTTGAAGGTGGGGTGAAATGGGGTTTGACATTGCGTCCAAGATTATTGCACTTATATAGCGTCGTGCATGCACGTGTGTGGCTGCTTGTACTAGACCGGACTAATGCCGATTTATAGTGCTAGCCCACTGAGATACCATGCCGCAGTTTAACATGAATACCCCACTCGGACACTGTATACTGACTCTGAGCCGACCAGTCCTTGCTTTAATCCCTTAATGCTGAGCGCCAGACAGGGTAACAACAAGTACCATCTTTTAACGTCTTTTGGTATGACGCGGCCGGTGATCGAACCCCGGACCTTCCGCTCTCCGGGCGTACACTCTACCACTAGACCACAGAGGCGGTCTGATGCTCTTGAAGTAAAATTTACATTGCTTACAGATTACTTTTATGTGCCCATGTCAAGTTGATTTTGATTGAATGAT